CGGCGCTCGGAGGGGCGGCGCTCGGTGGGCAGGCGTTGGACAGCTGAGCAGGTGCCTGAGTTCGCGTCGTCCTCAGTCCTGGGCGGGTGCTGTGGTTCTCCGGGTTTCGCAGACAAGCTGAAGGGCAGAGATGAGCCCGAGAGCCAGGGAGCGAGTCTCCCTTCACCCGAGGCTAACGTCTGTGCTGCCATCCCCTACCAGACCTTCCCTTTGGAGGCGGCGGAGGGAAGCGGGCAGAATGACACGGGCCTGGAGACTGGAGAGCTGCCACCGCCTCGCGCCAACTTAGGCACCGAACGCCACAAACAGCTTTCGTGACCACTTTTAAAAAGGCGTGACCCTTTACAAAATGTATTTTTTTTTTTATTGGTCAGAAGGCTCATGCGCTCGCCAGGAAGAGACAGGCGAGAAAGGAAGCGCCCACCTCTCTCTCTCTCACACACACACACAGAGGATGGCCGCGCCGCAGTCCCTTCTCCATCTCCCTCTCCTTACAGGATTTCGGACGGGCATGTCCAGGCGCTTGTTTCTCAAACTGCCCAATCTAAGACTCCGACTTTGTAGTTGGCCATGTGGCTCCCAGCCACCTTAACCACCAAGCCATGGGCCAGAGACCGATTTCATGATAGTGGTCTTTTTTCTTTTCTTTTTTTCTTTTTTTTTTTTTTTTTGTTAAGAATTACTGGGGGAACAGCAGTTGGTGTAATGGCTTTGTCGCTGGACTCCCATGTAGTCGACTGCGGTTCGAGTCCCGGAACCCACGGCTTAAACTCATGCTGGGCATGTGTGCGTGCATGCCCAAGATCAGGAGAGGAGAAAGGAGAAGGGATTGTGGTGTGGCCATTCCTCCTGGGGGGTGATTTCTTGCTTTCTGTCTCTCTCTGTCTTCCTGGCGAGCGCACCCTATAGCAAAAACCTCTCCAAAAAAGAATTACTGGAACCAGCCAGTGGCATAGTGGTTAAAGTGCTGGACTCCCACATGACCAAATACAGTTCGAGTCCTGGACATGGTGGCTGGAAACTCATGCCCCGCATGTGTGTGCATGCATGCCCCAAATCCGGAGGAGAATGGAGGAGAAGGGACTATAATGTGGCCATGCTCCCTGGGGGTGTGATTTCTCACTTTCTTTTCTGTTTCTCTGTCTCTCTGGCACGCTCATGGGCCCTATACCAAAAATCTCTTTAAAAATTAAAAAAAGAATTATTAATTTTATTTATCATTATTATTATTTTTATAATTTGCTACAAAACGTGTGCTTACCAGAGAGAGAAAAGGCAAGAAAGCAAGCCGCCAGGTCCAGGACTCCAATCACAACCATGTGGAGGTCAATCATGTGAGGGTCCAGCGCCTTAACCACTGTGTCACCTGCGGGCCCCTTGATAGTGGTCTTGGGGTTGACAGCGTGGGCTCTGTGGGCAGCCAGACCTGCAGGCCAGTCCTGGGTTGGCTGCTGAGTGTGGAATACTATGAATCAATCCTTTTCCCTATTCCAAGATTCCGAGATTGTTTCCTGTCTGTAAAGTGGGAAGACTAGCATGTTTCAAATGTTCCAGATAACTATTCAATGAGGAGGTGCAATTAGAGAACTCTGCACAGTGGCTGCCAGCAGGCACTCAGTAACTCCTGGGTATGCCAGTCAGACATGAGCGCTGCTACTGACCAGTTGCACGGCCTGTGGCAGGCCTAACCTCTCTGAGGCTAAGGTTTACCCTTATACCATGAAAGGATTGGACTAGACGATATTTAAGTTCCCTCCCTCATAAAATATTTCAAAGAAGTTTTTTATTTAATTTCTTAACCTTAACTTTTTTTTAAGAATTATTTTATTTAATTTTATTTATTCATTCATTTATTTTAATTTGACCAGAGAGAGAGGGGAAGTGAGAAAGCAAGCCACCAGGTCCAGGACTTGAACCGTGGTTGGCCATGTGGGAGCGTCCAGTGCCTTAACCACCACACCACCTGCTGGTCCCTAACTTTAAGTTTTTTAAAGAATTATTCTATTTCACTTTACTTATTTATTTTAATTTTGACCAGAGAGGGACAGAGCAAGAGAGGAAGAAGGAGAAAGTGAGAAAAGCCAGCTGCCAGGTCCAGGCAGTCAGCCATGTGGGAGTCCAGCGCCCTTAACCACCGTGCCACCTGCCAGTCCCAATTTTTTTTAGTTTTTGTTCGTTTGTTTTTTTGCCAGAGGATGCATGTGCTCACCAGAGAGAAACACAGAAAAGGAAAGTGAGAGATCGCCCCCCAAAAGGGGAATGGCCATGCTACAATCCCTTCTCCTCTGTTCTCCTCTCAGTACTTTTGGCATGCGTGCACATGTGCCTGGTCAGTTTGAAGCCACCAGGTCTGGGATTCAAGCCGTGGTAGGTCAGAATCCCTTTAGAGGATTGAAAAATAAAATAGAATGCAATTTAAAAATCCAAATGTGGGACCAGCAGATGGCGTAATGGCTATGTCGCTTGATTCCCATGTAGTCAACCATGGTTCGAGTCCTGGACCCAGTGGCTTAAACTCACGCCGGGCACGTGTGCATGCATGTCCAAGATCCCGAAAGGAGAATGGAGGAGAAAGGGATTGAGGCATGGCCATCCCCCCTGGGGGGTGATTTCTCACTTTCTGTTTTTCTGTCTCTGTCTTTCTGGCGAGGGCACGCGCCCTATAGCAAAAACCTCTCCAAATAAATAAATAAAAGAATTAAGCAGACTTTGAACACATCCTGTAGCATTCTTGAAATACATTATCCTATAGTTTCCTGGGACTCAGAGGCAGGATGGCAAAAAGGGTCCTATGAAATAAACATGTATCAGTTAGCTAATGCTATATAACAAATCATGCCAAGCCTTAATAGCTTTACAGTTTCTTTTTATTCATAACAGAGAGCACATGCACTTTCCAGAGAAAGAGAGAAAGAACAAAAGAGAGAAGCATTCTTATCAGGCAGGGTCTGGTCATGCTGTGGTCCTCCTTGTTCAGCTCATCAGGATCCTGGGCATGTATGTGCATCTAGCACGTTTCAAGTTAACTAGGCCATGGATCCAAACCCACAGCCATCCCTGTGGCTTCCACCCCTGCAGCCCAGTACTATATGGACTGCACCACCTAGCCCGGGCCCTTAATAGTTGTAAACAACACACATTTATAATGTCTCCTAATTCTGTGGATTAGCTGGGCAGTCCTTTCCTGGGTCAGTCCACCCTGGGCTGGAAAGTTTGGAATGGACTCACATGTCTGGATGATACTGGCTGATGGCTGGGTCAGGCGGTCACATGTCTCCAGCAGACTATCTGAGCTTAGTTACACAGTGACAGTCGCAGAATCCCAAAGAGCAAGAGAGGGCAAGGCCCGATTGCGCAAGCACTGCTCAACTCTGCTGCCGCCATTGTTCTGCCCCATGGCCAAATCTAAACACAAGGTGGCTAGGTGGATTTACTTCTCAATTAGGAGAACTGCAAACGACTGTGCCTCCCGCCTCTCACCATCGATACAACTATCTTGGTTGCCTTTTGTTGTGTAACTGATTAATCCCAAAGTTCATGGCTTAAAACAACAAAAACATTGATTATTTCAAAGTTTCTGTGGGCCAGGAATTTGGGAGTGACTTAACTGGGCAGTTCTGACTTGGGGGTCTTTCAAGAATCCACCGGTTTGCCCAAAGTTCCAAGAGGAAAATGGAGGGAAAGGGATTGTAGTGTGGCCATCCCACTGGGGAATGATTTCTCACTTTCCTGTCTCTCTCTGTGTCTCTCTCGTAGGGCACATGTGCCCTACGGCAAAAATCTAAAAAATAAATAAATAAATGGAACCCACAGTCATCTGAAGGCTTGAGTGGAGCTGGAAGATCCATTTTGTAGACAGTGTACTCCCATGGTGGCAAGCTTGCACAGGCTGCCGGCAGGAGGACTCGGTCCCATAGAGACTGCTCCAGGATGAGTGCAGAGCTTCCATGATGGGCAGCTGGCTTCCACTGGAGCAAGAGGCCCAGGAGAGAGCAGAGTGGAAACTACATGCCCCAGCCTTAGAAGTCACATATGACAGCCTGTGACAGGTCCCACAGGTCACATTCAGTGTGTGAGGGAACCACACATATGAAGTAGACTCAGAGGCCACCACCAAACGTGTTCAGTGACATGAAAATATCTTTATTCTACTCATTCATTTAATTAGTAATTTGGTTGTAGATGGACTCCTTTTTTTTTTTTTTTTTAGAATTTTTAATTTGGGAACCAGCAGTTAGTGTATTGGTTTTTGTGTTGGTTTTC